TAAAATATTATAAATAAGAAATAAAAATGAATTAGTATGGCAGACACTCATATTAAATATAATAAAATGTAAAATAATATTTAATGTATATTAAACTATTATAAATCAATATATTAATATGGAAGACACCTCATTTATGACTTCACACAAAGCAGCATATTCTGATTCAGTGGTACTATGCACCGTACAATTCTGCTTACGGGACCGCCATACTAACATATTGCCAGCAAATTTCACAATTATACCCGAGACAGATCTACACTCTTGTTCAGTAGCAAATGAACGCAAAGCAATCAATATTTTCTTCACTGTTTCCAAATACTAAACAATAATCGATGGTACTCTTAAGATATCTTATTACTCTTTTTAGTGCAACCCAATCTATATCTCTGGGTTTAGCAACTCTTCTACTAAGACAACCCACAGCATAGCTGATATCAGGCCTAGTATGATTAGCGATATACATTAGACTCACAATTGCAGAATGATAAATATCAGGTCGTTCAAATAACTTTTGAGACTCTTGATTTACATAGTCTACCATGGGTGTAGATATAGTTTTGGCATCAGTGAGACCACATTTTTCAACCAATTGCTTTATCTTTGCCTTCTGACTTCGAATTATTTTTCTGTCTTCTGTTCTATCCACTTCTAGGCCCACATAGTTTTTCAGATTCCCTAGGTCTTTTATTTTGAATTTTCTTTCCAGTTCTTTTTGCACTTTGGCGACTCTATCCAAACCTTTAGCCAGGACACAGACATCATCTACGTAAAGCAGAAGACCAATACATTCATCATTAACACCCCTAGGATATCCACACACATCAGCGATGCTTCTTTTGAATCCAAGACGACACAGTTCTTCCAGCACCGAGCTGACTGTCGTAAACCATAAATGGCTTTATGAAGAAGGCAGACTTTATTCTCAGCTCTAGATCTAAAACCTGGTGCTTGCTCCATATAAATGTTTTCTTCTAAATTCGCATTGAGATAAGCAGTTTTGAAATCAACATGTCTAATGTCTAATTGTCTTTTAGCTGCCAGTGTTAACATTAATCTTAGGCTTTCTGGTCTTGCAGTGGGAGCAAAGGTTTTACCATAATTTTCAAACTTTACTTGTGTGAATCCTTTGGCAACTAACCTGTCTTTATATTTCTGACTACCATCAGCAAGCACCTTTCTTTTGTAAACCCATCTACAATCCACTATCTTTTGATCCTTAGGTCTATCTACAATTTCAAACACTTGTTGCATCATGGAATTATATTCATTGTCTATAGCTGCTTTCCATTCCTCTGCATCAACACTTTCAATAGCTTGTTTGTAACATTCAGGCTCCTCATCTAGTAACAAATTTCCTGTAGCCTGATAAAGCACTGGCTTGCCATATCAATCTGGTGGCTTTCTGACCCTTCTGCTCCTTTTCAAAACTATGCTCTCAGCACCACTAGTTTCTTCATCACTAGATTCAGGTCTCCCTTTCTTCTTTTTATCCTTAAGTCTAGAACGTGGCGAAGGAACATTTGGCACTTCCTCACTATCCAATAACGAATCCTCTCCTTCAACATTCACACTTGTATCTCTAGTTTCCTCATCTTTTTGACCAAATTGAATAAACACTTCTTTATCACAGTGTATCTTTTCCCATCCACTATGCGTTTCAAAATTAGCACTCCTGGAAAGGATTATTCTTCCATTCCCTGCGTAAAAATGATATTTATTTCCTTCATACCCAGTAAAACACAACTTCTGACATTTTTGTTGACCCCTTCCTTCTCTGTTGGGCTGGAATTAGTACATATACAAATTGCCCGATATCCTTAGATGCTTTAGATTGGGTGACCTACCATACAAGGCAAAGAATGGGGTCTGTTCTATTGCTGAACACCACACTCTATTCAATACATAATTAGCAGTATGGATGGCTTCTCCGCATAGATTACTGGGTGCCTCAGCATCTTTCAACATGCACTCCTCCATGTTGTTAATTATGCCTAGACGTCTTTCGGCTAGTCCGTTTTCCTCTGGAGTATATGGGTTGGTGGTCTTATGTTGGATGCCAGTCTCTGCAAGCCAATTTTGAAAATCATTGCCACAAAATTCCCCACCTCTATCCGTGACCAAAGAAGCCACTTTGTGAGGAAAAGTCCTCTCAACCATCTGCACCCATGGTTTGAACATTAAGAAAGCATCACTTTTATTTTTCAAATTGTACACAAACCCATATCTGGTGAATCTATCTACTATGACAAAGAAAGACTTGGCTCCCCCTTCACTTTCTGGAAAAGGCCCTGCCAAGTCAGCACGAACAACCTCAAAAGGCCTACTAGCCTTCATCTTACTTCTTTTTACCACAGGATATGCTTTGACCTTCGCTTGTTTACACACCGCACAGTCCAAATAGTTATCACACTTCAGCATCTTTAACTCAGGACATACATTAGCTAATTTCTCCAGACCACGAAAGCTTACATGTCCCATTACCCTGTGGAAAAATGTGCACATGAGTCATGTAAAGGTACATTGAAGTCCTTATTCACATATTCTGCACAGTTCATGTCACTTTCAGTATCATCTTCACTTAGAGCATTGTCTATAGCACCTCCTGTGGCTTCCATCATTACTCTGGCTCCAGGAAAGTTTGATGATTCACCACCATGGGCTCTTCCTCTGTTGAAGCCCCCTCTGGCGTAGCTCCCTCTCGGTTGACTTTTCTTGACTGCAATCTCTGGCCAGATGTCCAGGCTTGTTGCAAGGATAGCATCTCCTCGCTGCTGAAACACGCACACTTGCAAGAAGAGGCTCCTTCTTCAGCTCTGTCGGTGGCGACTCCCCCTCATACTTGCAGCCTCCATGCTGCTCTCTTTCAAACAAGCATCTGCCTTCCTCCTCCAGAATCCTGGAACAAACTAGATCCAGTGTGAGGTCTTGAGCTCGCACAGCTTGCAAAGAATACAATAAATGGTCCCATTCGTTTGTCAAAGAAGACATCATAATATAAGCTTGATGTTCACCGCTAATCTGGACACCTCTAGTTTGGCACTCCATAAACAGTTCTTTCATTCTCTTAACATGTATTCTCCCATCTCCTCCTTCATCTACTTTAGCTCTGTACAATCTTTTGGTCCAAATCATTTTACCAAGTGTGCTCTCTCGCTGATGTACATTACGAAGAGCTTCCCAGACTTCTTGAGCAGTATGGAAATTCTGTACATGAACCAATTGGTCTGGCATCAAACAAAGAATCAGGCTTGATATCCCCCTCTGATTCTTGTCTTGATCCACTTCCGTTCCCAAAATAGTCTTTTGTAATCCATCTCAAATGCTGCATGAACACAGGCCACTGTTTGTAATTATGGTCATTCAGCTTCTCAGTTACAGTCAAAGGATTTGAAGCAGCCATTCTCACCTCCAGGAGACCCTCACACTCTGAATTTAAGCCCAGCCGCTGACTCACGAACACACCTTCAGTGGCATCTGGCAGTCTCCTCTCTGCTTACCAGCTTTATGGCTTTACTGCTCCACGCGTCTAACCATCAAACTGGGTTCAGCATGCCCCGCTCACAGCTCTGTTTTCTCCTGGAATCAGCCTTCCTCTGAAGACACGCCAGTTCTCCGTAGAAGCAGGCTCCAGTCTCCAGTCCAAACTACAGCTCCAGTTGTAGCTTCAAATCAGGGCCCATAACCCTTTGTCAGAGTGCGACAGAAGCTTTGAAGCTTCGAAGAATGGACACTTTGAGACTTCAGTAAAAGCAAACATTTAGCTTTACTGAGTAGATCAAATATACAGCACACATTCGCATTTACATCCAACCACACAGACAGGAACAAGACAAAATACACATCGAAGTAAGAAGGACGAACGAAGCCTTATCTCTGGATCCTCCCTACACGTTCAAGGCAAACTCAGGGTCACATCTTCACAGTTCATTAAATGCTTGACTGTTTAACCCTTTCACTGTCAATATACTCTCTGGCAAAGAAATCCGGTTACATTCACAGGCATTGCACAAAATTACATTTAAAAATTCACATTACATTAATCTTACATTGACAGTTTTTGCAGATGTTGTACTCTTTAGCAGACCTTTAACTGACCGCTGGGGGATAAATATCTATTAACGAGGCATGTTTTTAATAATGTCTTGTTGAAGGCTTTCATGGCCAGAATCACTGGGTTGCTGTACATTTTTGGGCTTGTCTAATCATGTTCCAGCAGCATTCTCTTCTGACGTTTCCCCTGCATCTGTGCCTAAAGGCACCTTCAGAGGTTCTCTTGGCAGTGAAGCAAGTGGAGTAGTGTATATATTCCTGTGGAATAATATCCAGGGT